CCTGCCTATTCCCAGAAACTTCATGAATTATGCGTAAGTTCCCTATACCAAACCCTATAACTGCCCTAGAATCCCCAACCTTGAGGAGCTTGATTTGAGACTTAGTCTCCAAGCTCCTTGCTTGACTGGCTTACAATGAAGTCCACTTTCTCAAAGGCTTGGTGTCTCTCAGTTGACGGGAGGAGTCATGCCGGGCAAGACCCACCCTCATCAGGTTATACTGACAGATTGCCGGGATGGCAACCAATGTCACAAAAACAATGTGTATAAATTTTTGGATGAAAAACTAATTTGCACTGTAAACTTTCACCTAAAACACAATAAAATTTAAAAAAAAAAAATCTTCCAGCAAAAATAATAGAGAACTCAAATCGTTTTACCAGTGAGTTCATCATATATTCAAAAAATAAATAATTCAGGTCTTAACCTTTTCCAGACTATTAGGGGAGGGGGGAGGGGAAAGAACCCTCTCCAGTTCATCTTACGAGGCTGGCATAACCTTGATACCAAAACCACATGAGGAAAAAGAGAAGAATGCCCACTCTCACCACTTCTATTCATCATTGTACTGGAGGTTCTAGCCAAAGCACTAGGTAGAAAAATGAAATAAAAGACATCCAGATAGGAAAAGAAGTGAAACTATATTTGCAGATGACATGATATACAGAAAAACCTAAGGAACCCACACACGCACATACACACACACACACACAAAACTATTAGTATTGATAATCAACTATTAGTATTATTGCAGGATATAAGATCACGATACAAAAACCAACTGTATTTTTATACATTTCCAATGAACAATCTAAAAAGGAAATTAGGAAAAAAAATTCCATTTACAATAGCATCAAAAAGAATAAAATACTCAGGAATAAATTTAACTAAAAAAAGTATAAAACTTATACTGTGAAAACTACAAAATATTGTTGAAAGAAGTTAAAGATTGAAATAAATGGCAAAATATCCCTGTATTAGAAGTCTTAATGTTGTTAAATTACTCTCCAAATCTATACAGATTCAACACAATCCCTATCAAAATCCCAACTGGTTTACTTGTAGAAATTGAGAAGCTGATCCTAAAATTTGTATGGACATGGAAGGGACCCAGATTAACCAAAACAATCTTGAAAAAGCATTAAAGTTGGAGGACTTACACTTCCCAATTTCAAAACTACAAAGCAACAGTATTCAAGACAGCGTGATACTGGCATAAGAATAGATATACAGATCCACAGAATAGAATTGAGAGTCTAGAAAGAAACCCATGTGTCTCTATGGTCCATTGATTTTTTACAGTGGTGCCAAGAAAATCATTCAATGTGGGAAAAATCGTCTTTTCAACAAATGGTGCTGGGACAACTGGACAGCCACACACAAAAGAATGAAGTTGGACCACTACATCACCTCATATATGAAAATTAACTCAAAGGTCCTAAATGTAAGAGCTAAAATTTTAGAAAAAAACATAGGCATAAATTTTGTGACCTTGGATTTGGCAATGGATTCTTATATATGACACCAAAAGCAAAAGCAGCATGGCCAATATCTCTTATGAATATAGATGCAAAAATCCTCAACAAAATACTAGTGAACATATAGGGAAACCTTTATGATCTTGGAACAGCGAAGGGTTCCTAAGACACAAAAAGGATACATCATGCAGGAAAAGGATAAATTTGACTACAAAAAATATCTGTTCATCGAAAGATCTATAAACAACTCAACAAAAAAGACAAACAATCCAATCACAAAGTGGGCTAAGGACTTAAATAGACATTTCACCTAAGAAAATATATAAATGGCAAACAAGCACGTGAAAAGATACTCAACATCACTAGTCATTAGGGAAATGAAAATCAAAACCACAATGAAGTAACACTTCACACCCACTAGGATGGCTATAATTAAAAATAAAAACAAGCAAAAACTGGAAAATAACAAGTATTGGCAAGGATACAGAGAAATTGGAACCCTAGTGGGAATATAAAATGGTTGAGCCTCTGTAGAAAATAGTTTGGCAGTTCCTCAAAAAGTTAAACATAGAGTTACCATATAACCCCACAAATTCCACTCTGAGGAACTCCTCAGACAAGTACGTATTCATAACAGCACTAATCATAATAGGCATAGAGCAGAAACTGCCCAAATATCCATTAACAAATGAAGGGATAAACAATGGAGTATCATTCAACCATAAGAATGAATCAAGGACTCATACATGCTACAACGTGGATAAACCTTCAAAATACGCCAAGTAAAAGATGTCAGATACCAAAGGCTACATATTGTATGATTCCATTTATGTGAAATATCCAGAATAGATAAAAGCCTAGAGACACAACACAGACTGGTGGTTGCCAGAACTTGGGGGGAGAGAGACACGGAGGTATGGAGAACTGCTTACTGGGTATGGGATTTGACTTTCAAGTGATAGAAACGTTCTGGAACCAGAAAGAGGTGGTGGTTGCACAGCACTGGGAATGTACTAAATGGCACTGAATTGTTGACTTTAAAATCGTTAATTTTATGTCATGTGAATTTCACTTCAATAAAGTTTTTTTTTTTTAAATCTATACCGAAAACTGAATAGAGGGGCCCCAAGTTTGGAGATCTGCATTAAAGCCAATAAAGACTCAGTACCCAGAACAGAAAAGGACAGTCTAACAAATGGGCAAAAGCTATGGCCTGGCATTTCAAGAACAGGAATAGATGCTCAATCTTATTAGTAGTCAGGAATGCAAATAAACACCACACTGCCCATTTGGTTGACAAAAATTTGAGAGGATCAGGTGTTGGCAACAATGTTGCTCAAGAGGAACTTTATACACTGCTGGTAGAAGTGTATATTAGTTCAGCCACTGTGGAAAACATTCTGGCATTATCTAGGAAAATTAAACAGGCCCATGACTACAGCCCAGCCATTAAGATATTAAGAGTCCAAGGTATATACCCTGGAGATGCCCTAGCATGGCGCTCGGCACCAGGACACCTGAGAAAGGATGCTTGCTGCAGCAAGTTCTGTAACAGCAACACATTGGAAACAACCCAAATGTTCATCCACAGTCAAATAAATACATTGTATGTTTATGTAACTGCATTCTATACAGTAGTGAAAATGAGAAAATCATAGCTACACACAATATGGATCAATCTCGGTTGTAATCTTAAGTCAAAAGAGCAAATCGTAGAAGAATATATCTGGTATTTCATTCATATACAGTAAAAAAAATGCCAACCTAAACACTGTATTGTTTATGGATACAAATATGTGATAAAACTATGAAGAATATGAAATGATAAACAACATTCAGAGTGGTAGTTACAATGGATCAGGAGCACATCGGGGATTTCGAAGGTTCTTCTTCAATTGGGGTGGTAGTTAAAAGGATTTTCATTGTATCCTTATTCTTTAAAATTTACATATTTTGAATATTCTTTTATACCTCTCAATACTTAATATAACCAATTTAAAAGAAAGATACAGGAAGAGAATTTAGAGAACATAAAGGATGAAGCTACCCTACCCTTTAAAATCAAACCAAACCTGTTGCCGTTGAGTCGATTCCAACTCACAGCAACACTACAGGACAGAGTAGAACTGCCCCGTCGACTTTCCAAGGCTGTAATCTTTACAGAAGCAGATTGCCACATCTTTCTCCCACCCTTTAGATTCTTCAGTATCCTTACCCATAAAATAGACAAAAGCCAGACAATATACAATTTAAGATTGAACTCTATGGCAAGAGTTAATGCTCTGGGTGTTGATATGGGGTTCCTTACACTTTTGATCCCAAATGCTTCAGCAGAAAAGCTGACCGAAACAAGGAGGGGATGAGCTGATTGCCCTGGGATCCACGTTTGCAAACCACCTGCCAACCACCAGTACACAGTAGCTAGCGATCTGTTCCCATAAAGATTTCAGCCTAGGAAACCCTATGGGGCAGTTCTACTCTGTCCTATAGGGTCATTATGTGTTGAAATTGACTTGACAGCAATGGGTTTGTGTTTTTTTTTTTTATATCGGCAACAAAAGATAACGCAGGAGCACATAAATCCCGTACAAAAATGACTATAAATTTGTACATAAAAAGATATCCCTTCTTGATTTACCATAAATATAAAGCAAACCAAATTAGCATGAAAAGACTTTCAGATGCATTTTAAATCAAACGAATGTCTGCTTCCATGTAAAGAGCTATTAACTATATCCAATATTTTCTAAGAAAAGATATAAAACCTATAGCTATCCATAAACACCACATATACGTATAAAGAAAAAAGGAACACCCAAATATTAATACCAGAAATCCTAGCTCTGTGAAATCATGGGAAGCTTTGTTTCTTTGTTCCTTTTCTGTGCTTTCCAAGTTGGGTTTAAAAAAAAAAAAAAAAAAGGCAGGAAACAGGTGTTACTTTTTTTTCTCCAGGTATTACTTTTATAATTTAAAAAAAAAAAACTGTAAACACACATCAAAATTCATAAACGCGTGTAATGTCACTGGAAGCCTGAATGGAAACAGTGGTTAACTCTGAGAAGTGAGCCACAGCTGGACAAGAGACGGGTCTGAAGACGTACTCGTCACTGTGTCCCTTTTTGTACCGTGTTTATTATCCATTTAAAACTAAATACCATTTTTGAAAAAACACGACTCGAAACATAAAGGACATTTAAATGTCCCCTATTTAATCATTACGAATGATTAATGTACGTGGAAAGAAAAAGTTCACAGCTCTGAACTGTGACTCTTTTCCTCTAGCCTTAGGCCAAACACGGGATAGGCTGGACTGCGGAGCGGGCAGTCCCGGGGCTGCCCCTGGCTGCCCGCTGTGTACTGCAGAACCTGTCCTTTATGGACTGCGGGCCACTCAGGCGGGAGCCAGGTTCGTGCCCTCCAAGGACTGAGGGACTGTCAGGGTGTGTCAGCCAAGGGACCCTAGACCCTGCAGCTGCCCTGTCTGCCACAACCTCCTCCTCGGGGTGGCTTCTCACCCTGTGCAGCCAAAACGTACCCTGTGTGGTGACGGAGACACCAGAAGCTGCATCAGGGGTTCGAGTCCCGCGTGACGTCGTTTGCTGTAACTGGGGCTGTACTCTCTGCTCTGTAGCCTCTCTTATTGCTAAGTAAACGTGGTGCTGGGAACCCACAGCGTCCTGTGGATCTGAATTACAGGCAGAACCTGAACCCCACTCTGCTGGCCCTGCAGGGTGATGATAAACTGAAGTACCACAGCACTCTGTCTCTTCACAGTATTATTAGCAGAAATGATAACGACCTACTCAGTCATTAGGGAACACAAGAATACACACAATCCTTCAAAACCTAGTCATAGGAATTTAGCTTGAAGGTGCTGTGGTGAATGTGCTGTGGTTACCAGCTTAACTGCCAAAGACTCTAAGCAATCGTCACAATTACAAATTGGTCAGAGCAAGTAAGTGGCTGTAAGGAAGTCACACAAGCATTGCAAATATTTAAATTAGAAAAAAGTGTTTTAAAAAATAGATTTAGCAGAATTATACTTCATGGGCCAAATATGTATCAGTTCAGATGAATTTAATCGAGCTTTCTAGTTTTTTTTTTACTTTGTTCCATTCTACAGAGCATAAATATTAAATGTTTATAAAATACACTTCATTTTAAATGGGTTAAATACAAAACACACAATTTGAGCATAAAACAATACATTATGGTCTCATGAAAACATTTATAAAACACAATAATGAAAAATTAACAGCGTCCAATAAATGAGCAATCCTATGCAAAGGTGTGCCCCAACAACCGACATTTTGTAAACGGAAGAATTAAAAAACACAATGTCAATTAGTGTTATTCTTTTGGTAGTATTGCATGAGGTTAAAGAACAAATTTTCAAATTCTGGTAGTGATGTTAAAATTAAATTATAATCTGGATTAAAAACAGCACTAAGTTTTATAGTACCTAAACTGTTAGAAAATGCTGACTTTCTAGTTGGCAACATGACAATCATGTACCATGAGCGCACATCATGAGTGTCAGCAAACAGATGGCCATAATCGTACACATTTTTTTTATAAATCCAGGATTACGTTGGTTGGTACACGAGTCATAAATTGATCTTTCTGGTACAATGACAAGTGTACAAAATCATGATTTTTATGTAAGAATCCGATATAATGTCCAAGAACAAATGTGTACCTGTGTGCTTTCCTTTAAAAAAAAAAAAGAAGTATAAATCAGATTTTTAACCTAAAAAGCGAAAATCCATTTAACAAGTCTTGTAGCTGTATTTGTCTTACTTTTCAGCTGAAAGGGTGAAGCATGATAGCCACAACTTTGTTACAGACTAAAATCCAGCAAGTAATTCCAACACCACCTGAAAAGAAAAATTCAACATGAGAGAGTCTGCCAACAGTTCTGCCTACATTTCCTGCCTGTTACCTTTAATTTACAGGACGTAAGAGTATTTCACTTTCTTCTAAGCTAACAAAGACTAAGTGCTCATTTTGTGGGCTCAAATGCGTTAGGCTTTCTAATGACTCTCAGGGCTGGATTCTTACGAAGTAGGAGTCACACTGGACAACTGGTTTATATTTTATATTTCTCTTTCCTACCAGGCAGATGTGAAATACAATTTATGATGTTAATGCATGTAAGATCTTGGAGCAGGGTCTACTTACTTGTGTTTCCTTTCTCAATGAACACTGTAAAGGAAGCAACACTTACCCACTCCTTTCTCTTTCTTTTTTCAAATATTTTAATGTGTTTTAGGTGAAAGTTTACATAGCAAATTAGGTTCCTATGTAACAATATTTATACAAATTGTTCCATGTCATTGGTTACATTTTTCACAATGTGTCAACAGTCTCATTATTTCCAGTCTGTTTGTTCTGTTTCCATTAATCTAGCTTCCCTGCCCCTCCTTAGCTTCTCATCTTTGTTTCAGGGTAAATGTTGACGGTTTGGTCTCATATAGTTGATTATTTAAGGGAGCACAGTACTCACAGGTGACATTGTTTATCACCCAATCTATTAGTTGGCTGAAAGGTGACCACCGGGAGTGGCTTCAGTTCCAAGTTCAACGGGTATCTTAGGGTACCCAGTCCTTTCTTGCCCCACTGGTAACTGAGAGCCACGAGCATCACACCGTCCAGGTGGACGGGCTGCAAGAATGGCCAGTGGCTCCACTAGGATGCCTGCAAGGGGGCCTCCTGTTCTCCAGAAACAACAGACACCCAGCCAGCAGGGCCCCAAAGCAGAGGTCTTGGCCTGGGCCTGGCAAATGCAAAGCAAAGGAAAGGGGGCAGGGGAATGGTTCGATTGGAGTCTGTAAGACAGTCATTCCCTTGGACTTAGTAATTCACCTCCAGCATAATCACAAATCACAACCAAATATTAACTGACAAGCATATGTGCTGCAGCATTATTCTCAACAGCAAAAAATCAGAACCTAACTAAATAAATATCCTATAACAGAGAAATTAGTAAATTATGAGCTATCCAAATGAAGACCAGCCATTCAAAATCTCTTACAAAGAAGTTTATTGATATGGGCAATGGCTTACAATGTAAAATGAAAAGAGGTATAAAATTATATGTACTAGATGACTTTAACGGTATAAAAACAAAAAGAAAAAAGAATGAAAAAATATACCACAACGTTAAGAGGGGTCATCCATAGCTAATGAGGTTGTTTTTTCAAATTGTTCCGGTATTTCTAATCACTCTACAATGACATACACTACTTTTAACACTCAAAAAAGTTATCTTTCAAAAATAAAAGGATCAATTGCTGTAGAGAGGTAAAGAATACTAAGGATGAAAAGAAGCCACAGGATTTGGGAAACAGAGGCAGTATTTCAATGAATGAGGGATCAGACTCCAAGTGCTGGGCCTGGATTCCGGAAGCAGACCTGAGTTTGAATTCTAGTTCTGCCACCTAACATTTCAGTGACAGTGGACAAGTAACTTCTCTAAACCTTAGTTTTACACGCCAAGAACCGTGCAAGGCTGAGGCACAAAGCACCTGCTCACTACAGAGTGAGGATGATGATGATGTCAGGTCGACCTAACCTGCCACCAACCACCTCTTCATGAGCCTGTCTATAATTTTCCAGAAAATTCTTACCTGCGACTCTAGTAGGAAACGCTACGAGGCGATCTAGTGGGGTTATCCACTTACTCGGCACCACAGCCACAGGCACAGAGTAGTACTTCCAAATAAGCGAAATCATCAGTGCAGCCTGGAAAGACACTTCTGGTGAGCGCAAACAACCTGCCAGTCAGGCAACAGATGACTACAGAAAGATGGAAACATTAAAACGATTTATGGAAACTCCAGATGGATGACCTCAAGCCCTCTCAATCCAGTCTGCGTGCCAAAAGACATATACGCAATGTCGTTAATGTCCATCCACTGTTGAAACCTTGAAACGTAGTGTCTAATGAAAGGCTAGTTCGCCAAGACATCTAGAACACACTACGCAACAACGGGTGTGAAATGGCGTTTTACTGACTTTTCGCATGAATAGTATATACACGCTATTTATATTAGCTGACAAACAAAGCAAGGGCTCCTATAATACAGATGTTCCTTTCTCACTGAGTATCTCTTTTGAGTAGCCAAACTATGCTAAACACAACTTAATACTGAAGAAAGCTCTATTACGCCTCTATCTAAGATCCTTGGAACAAGTTACCTCTCCCATCCACATATGCGTGTCAGTTGGTGTAAGCGTGCCCTCTGTAAGTTCAAATGGTGGAGAAAGAACGGATGCTTTCTTTTCCTTCTTTTGCTAGCAAAATTCCTTCAGTTATCCTCAGTCCCCAGGTAGCCTCGAATATACCTCCCAGATCAGCAGACCTCAAGAGGGCATCTGGCCTAATTCCTATGTCTCGGTGAAACCTATCTCTTATCAAAGTAACAGTGCCTCAGATCCAGTTTCTTAAATATACCCAACAACCTGGGCTTCTTAGAGGTGTTGCTTGAGTTCTTTACCACAGTGAACAGAAGGTCACACAGAGTACTGAAACTCAGAGATCATTTAACACACCCAGGAGCCACTAAAGCGCCTCCATGAAAACCACACGGTAAAGTCGCAGCAGAAGTGATAACAGTCACATGGGAAACTAAAAAAATTAAAAATCCCCCAGATGAGAAAGTTGGGAATTAATGGTTTTGGATTTTAATGGGAATAATGAGTTCCCTCTCTGAAGGGTGGACAGTCATTTATATGCTTGCTGTTTAAGCATACCAGATAGCAAGTAACGACCAAAATGATCAGCCATATTGGAAAATCCAATGTTGAAATAAGCTTCTCTCACTTCACGCCCTAAAACAGCACTGGAATCAAGGCAATATGAAAGATCTCCTGAGAAATCACTTCAGAGCTCCTTTGCTAAAAAGTCCCAGTTAACAGAAAGGCTTTCCTCCTCCATCTTATAAATTCACAGAGTGTTCAGAGTCACATGCTGGAAGGGCCACATGCCACTGTGGCTAAAAGGGGGGATGCCTGAATCCCAGCCCTGGATTCTGCATGACAGTCCAATACCAACTTAAAAACCCCAGGTGACACAACAGTACACTTACTTGCAATATGTAGAAAGCAACACTTATAACCCATTTTATTTTGGCTAGCTGAGCTGTCCGTGCTTTCACTGAAAGGAAAAACAAGATGAAATCATTGTATCGGTCAGGAAAAATGAAGAAAATATCCAAGTACAGAGAAATGTTACTTTCTCTTATAAAATATTTTGATTATAAATCTTAACACTTGTTCAATATATTTAGGAAATACAGAATAAAATTTTTAAAAAGTCACCCACAATCCCACTGCACCATTACAGGTATGCGTCACTTAACGTCCAAGATACATTCTGTGACATAGGGCATTACGTGATTTGGATGTTGTGCAAACACCAAATCATATCCAGGAGAGAGGCACACAGGATGGTGACCAAGCCTAGCCCAGCCTCCACCACAGCGTGCTGTGCCGGCTGCCTCAAGGCCTGCCGCAGCCTCCCTTCTCCTTCCTTCCCTCTTCCCTGCCTGCCTCCCCCGCCCCCACTCCATGGGCTTATTTAAACCCTTAAATTTGAAATAAGTTGACTTTGAAGCAAATCTAAGAGGATCCTAGATATTTCTGTGTTTAGAAAGCAAAGGTTCACCAGCAAATATGGAAAAAGTAATGATCATTACTGGGTTTCTTTCTAGACAAGCAAAATGTTTCTATCAACATTTAGAACACCCAAAGCGCAAAGCATCTATCGTAAGATCTTCAGGTAAAGATTTCTCTACCAGGCAACTCTTAGAAGTTTTCAGGAATGCAAGTGCCACCAGTACCGTGCGTTTTGAGCTTATCAGTCATCTTGTTGATCTTTCTTTCCAGTCTGGCATATCTGGCGAACTCATCCATCATGTTGACGGTGGAGAGCTCTTGCTTCATACCCTGGATCTCTGCTCTCATCTGTGACTCCTGCTCGGCATCCTTCTGCAGTACCCTGGACATCTGGCAGAGTGGACAGCTGTGGTCAGCACCTTTCCACGCAGAGCTCACATCCCTCCCACCTCCTCCACCAGCCAGTCTGCCGCCCCTTTCAACCAAGCAAGCCAGCCTTCACTCAGGAGCCTCTGCTGCCTTTCTCCTGCTCCATGCACCAGTCACAAAACCAAACACCAACTCAGTGCCGAATCACTGTTCAAATCACGTACTTCCTTTTGAAGATATATATGCCCAAGGATTGCTACGATACTCATGTATATATCATTCAGTATAAATATATAATTGGGATTCTGAAATGAAAACTTATTCCATCCCCAGAGCTGTCATTCAAGTGACAGGAACACTCGTCCCCCTTCACTTCCTGAAGAACTCAGTCCTACAGTGAATGGGGCGGAGCTAGGTGATGTGCGGGTAGGGGTGACAAAGCCAGTGACGCGGTGGTAGCCCACTGCAGCGCGTCACAGCCCAAAATGGGTGAAGAGGGAGTGCAGCGGCCCAGCACAGGGACAGAGAGGAGGTCATTGCCCCAGACGGGGCCCCTAGCAAGGGGAACTGGGGCCATGCAGAGTGAAATAGGGGTCCCCAGACAGGGCAGCCTGGTGTGGGAGTCAGAGGCTGAGCAGGGCAAGGAGGATGCACGTGACAGGAGGCACTGTGCCAACACAGGGGTCAGAGCCCACGGGGGACGAGGTGGGCATCCACACTGGGGAGTGGCTGGAGGTGGAACTGGGAGGCTAGTCACACACAGAGGCTTGAGCAAATAAAGTAAACATATTAAGGAGAATGGAAACCTATTTTCTCACTGTCAGAGAAGAGCGTTAGAAATACGGATTGGAAAAGAACTAGGATGAGCCCTGTGGGTTGAGTTAAAATTGGAAGTATGGACCTGAACTCCTGGCTGTCAATAGATAGGCATATATAGATAAGTGGTTGGTAGGTAGGTAGATCTGGACAAAAATGTATGTGAACAGGTGCCTCCCACCAGCCAGCCTCAGCCAGGAAAGGAGTACTTGCATGTGCTGGTCATCCACAGCCTCTGCTGCCTTTCTCCTGCTCCCCGCACCAGGCACAAAACCGAACACCACCTCAGTGCTGAGCCACTATTCAAATTACGTATTTCCTTTTGAAGATATGCTCGTGGATTGCTACAATACACGTCACCAGACGGCCCCTCTCGCGCGTATCTGCCGGTACAACTTCCCGGCCACCAGGGGTATGGGAATGTTTTGACAGTGGCCGCCAGGTGGCGCCCGACAACAGGCGGGGCCGGGCCGGGTCCAGGCGTCAGGCCCACGAGGGCGCTCTAGCGATCACGTTTCTCATCCGGGGATTTAAGCGGCGGCCAAGCGGGCATGGGGTGGAGGACGAAGGAAAAAGCTTGAGAGGCTTCTCGGCGACCAGCCCCCGTGAACAGTGATCATCACCCTGCCACACACCAGACACAAAGCCGTTCACCAAAATCACCAGCCTGGTGACACTCAGAAACCAGGTCATAAGTCAACGAAAGACCAAGGATTTCTTTCAGACTGAAGGGGACTAAAGAGACATGACACCGAATGAAATGTGATTCTGAACAAGACCCTTCTGCCTTTATAAAGGTCGTTACTGGGACACTGAGGAAAGCCTGGCCAGGATCTGAGGATTAGATGGCATTATGTACCTTATAATTGCAATGTCCCTCAGGCGTCAGTTTGTCGTACTGTGGGGGCTTGTGCGTTGTGATGTTGGAAGCTATGCCACCAGTGGTTAAATACCAGCCGGGTTACCCATGGTGGACAAGTTATAGCTGAGGTTTCAGACTAAGATAGACTAGGAAGAAAGACCTGGCAGTCTACTTCTGAAAAAAAATTAGCACTGAGTAAGGAAGACCAAAGAAGAATTGACACCTTTGAATTATGGTGTTGGCAGAGAATATTGAATATACCATGGACTGCCAGAAGAACACACACATCTGTCTTGGAAGAAGTGCTGCCAGAGTGCTCCTTAGTAGTCAGGATGGCGAGACTTCATCTCACATACTTTGGACATGTTTTCAGGAGGGATCAGTCCCTGGAGAAGGACTTCCTGCTTGGTAAAGCAGGTCAGCCAAAAAGAGGAAGACCCTCTACGAGATGCATTGACAATGGCTGCAACAGTGGGCTTAAGCGTAACAACGATTGTGAGCAGGGCGCAGGACCGGGCTGTTTCATTCTGCTCTACATGGGGTTGCTATGAGTCGAATCGACTGATGGCACCTGACAAGTTGCGAGGTGGGGTCACTGTAGGAAGTAAACACTAAAGTATTCAGGCTGATTGCTCAGGTTGACAGCTTACTCTGAAATGGTTCAGGGGAAAGAAAAACCCAGTTCTTTCTCCTGCATGTGTAACTTTTCTGCAAGTTTGTGTTTGTTTCAAAATTTAAAAATAGATGAATAAAAAGATGAAAGGGGATAATGCATGTAAAGTGCACCTGGCCCACAGCAAGAGCACAATACATGAGCTTGTCCCTCCAGCTCACAGCTGCAGAGAGTACTATATTCTATCTTTTCCCTGCGTGCCGTGAGGAAACCCTCCAACTGCCGCAATCTCTGCCGGACAAAAACCGCAGAGTAACTCAACCACGGCGGGGACACCGCCCCTCCCCGTTGCCACGGGCCGCGCATGCGCAAGCTCCTGGGTCGGACGCCGAGGCCACGACGGTGCCAGCGCAATGAGGCCCTTCACCCGGGCGGCGGGCCGGCCAGGGCGCCTGCGCAGTGTATATGCCACTGCTGAGCACGGGCCGGAGGAGATTTACACCGCAGCTCTTTTGGGGTTCCCCTGTCCAGGCGTGACCACTCGTCAACATTCTTACTAAAGGAGATAAACTCCAGCCTGATCCACCCTGGAGAAGAAAATGCCCTTTGCCGTCGAGTCGATTCCGACTCATAGCAACCCTTGTAGGACAGAGCAGAGCTGCCCCATAGGGTTTCCAAGGGGCACCTGATGGATTCAGAACTGCCAACCTTTTGGTTAGCAGCCAAACTCTTAACCGCTACGCCACCAGGGTTTCCGGAGAACAAAAGAGGAAGGGCCAAATTCTCCTTTTAAAAAAATCATAGAATTACTTTTCAAAAGTAGGTCTGCAGATGCTACTTAAATTTTATAAATCAAGAAATAAGAGGTGCAAGATGGGGAGGTGGCTTTTTGAGGTGAAGGAAATAGTCTATACCTTGATTGTGGTGGTTATCCTAAAGACCCCTCAAACTGCGAACCTAAAAAGGGTGAAGTTCACTGTATGCAAATTCCAGTCAGTAAATCTGACTTTTAAAACTAGAGTTAAAAAAAGAATAGCGGTGCAAACATTTATTTAGCAGTGGTGCACAGTGGTGATGCACTCGGCTGCTAACCAAAAGGGCGGCAGTTCATTTGAATCCACTAGCCCTCTGCGGGAGAAAGATGTGGCAGTCTGCTCCCATAAAGATTACAGTCTAAGAAACCCTATGGGCCGGTTCTACTCCGTTCTATGTAGGGTCGCTACAGGTTGGAACTGACTGGACTGCAACAGGTTTGGTTTTTGGAATCTTTACAGAACCATTATACCAGGTCTTTTCTTCCACGGCACCACTAGAAGAGTTCGAACACCAACCTTAGGTTATCAGTTGAGCACAAACATTAATCCAAGGCCCCCTTATAAGTGTAACAATATGCTAGAATTATGAATTGAATGGTAAGATTTAATGAGACTTCAATTTAAATGGAAAAATCAAATATTAATTTTTAAAACAAAAATAAATCTCTTAATTCTATGTACTCAAAAGTCATCTTCCGGGCCATTAAAACTCACACTCGACAGAAACAGGTAAGCTGTCACCCTTATCCCCAGGCAGCAGCCGCCTGCTAGCCTGCGCTCACATCTGCACTCCACCACCCAATGACTGCTGTTTGGGGGCAACTCTCTGTGCCTCATCCACCTGAAAAATAACTGGTGGGATGATGCCTTTTACAGCTCATGCTCACAATAAAGGCTAGCTCTCCCTCTCAGGAACATAGTGGGCAACCCTGGGAGTGACTCTGTAACTCGGGCTGCCTGCTCAGGTGTGAACACCTGGACGATGCCTCCGTTTCGGGAAAAGACCGAGGTCCCTGTGAATCTCCAGGTCCAGAAAAGCCCCAGATGCCGCCAGGCCTCAGCTCTAACACTAGGCCATCCAGTCGGGACCCACCCAGTCAAGGCCAGCCTCACTCCCCCTTCTCCCACACGGCTCGCCCGCACATGGGCTCCCTGTACATGGGTGGGCACCTGACCCGAACCCAAGCCGAGGAAAGCAACCAGTGGCTTGGCCATTGTTACAGAACAGGAGACCCCACAGGAGGAGTTGTTACCGCCTGGGCAGGGTGTGGGACGAGCCTGGACACCTGCCCCACCCGCTGACTAGGCCAGTAGTAGTGTGCCTGCGCAGTGTGCCTCCACCGCACAAGCGTGAAGCAGGCACTCGGTAGTGGCGTCTTTCTCTCCCCCACCCCCCCACACAGGCTGAAAGAAGCCTTGGATATTCTACTAAATGAACAAGGCTCTCTCATCCATGCATCCGGTAACCAGCTTGAAGAGACAAAGGGAGGGACCCTCAGGAAAATTTCAACCAAGGACCAAGGTCCTTAACCAGGCAGCCTACGCCCACCCCAGTATTCTGCCGAGATCCTCCTCCAGGGACACTGCAAGGCTTTGTTGCGCAAGAGGGCTTCTCATACTTCAGAAACTTCCTGAAGAGCCTCAGGTTATGGGTCCTTGAATAACTGATGGGATGGGGACTGATTTAGAAAATAATATTGGAATCATTATTCCCTGTCCTTGAGCATAGAGAACATGACCCAGCTGGAGCTGGGCTCACAAGGCTCACAAGGACTCACAAGGACACATTATCTGGGCCCTGAGGTATAAAGACAATAGCTAGGATAATCTTAGAAAATATCTTTTAGGGAACCTTTCACATAAGCCAATCAAACAGAACACAAAAGACTGTCCACTCTTACCTTTTTCTATTAGCATATAGTGAAAGAAAATTTGTTGGACCAGTGAAGACCCTCCTGACTGTCACTACTGAAATCTGTACCAATGATTGTTAAGAAAAACAATTCAAAATGTAGGATCGCAGTTTCTAGCCAATCTGTGAAAAGGTGAAGCTTTCAATGGTTCTGCTCATTTTGCAATGTTAATATATACCGGTCATTCTGTAATAGTTCCTTGGACTCGGGCAGACATGGCTCTAGCAGCATGCTTGTCCGTTTTCCCATTCTTGTCTATTCTGTAATTTCCTTGGATTCGGGCAGACATTAGCTCTGGCAGCACGGATGTCCGTTTCCTACTTTTGCCTTTTTGGATATATGTCGAATAAAACTTTCTTTTTGCTTTACTGAACTTTATAATGTTTTTACCCTACAATAGTATGCTCCTGTTACCGCAATAACACGGATTGGAGCTGCCTGCCACAACAGCCAATTCTGAGACAGGGTGAGGTGAGCAGTAAGGGTTTTATTATATATCGATATATAGGAGACAGAGGGGAATAGATTCCTCCAAAAACCCATCTCACCCACTGGAGACTGGCAGAAGGCTTTATAGGGATAGAATTATGGGTCTTAGAAGTTTGTGTTAGCTCCCCCTTGAGGTGGTCACATCGCAGATGAGTTCATCTTTTCTTCGGGGTTATCTGGTGACATCCTGGTTTTCTTGTCCCAAGATAGGTGCTTTGTTCGGTTTTTCATTCCTAGACCATTATCACTTGTTTTCCACCCTCCAAGGAGGAACATCGGTTAATCTTAGACTTTTTATAGAGACTGGAACGTGAGGGGAAAACAAGATCATGAGACAATGCAGGGGTTAGCAATGGGGAGTAATCATAGTGAGCAGGGCCTATGCAGCCTCTTCCACTCCTGCACTTCCTGCTTGACCAAAGAAGCTTCAGAAATAGGGCAGGTTACTATACTGGGTTGTATAGTGTCCAAAGTTCATGCCCATCTGGGACCTCGGAATGTGACCTTATTGGAAATAGAGTCTTTGCAGATGTAATTGCATACGAAAGCTGGACAATGAATAATGAAGACCGAAGAACTAACGTCTTTGAATTATGGTGTTGGCAAAGAATACTGAATACTGCCAAAAGAACGAACAAATCTGTCTTGGAAGAAGTTCTGCCAGAATGCTCCTTAGAAGCAAGGACGGCGAGACTATGTCTCACATACTTTGGACATGTTATCAGGAGGGACCAGTCCCTGGAGAAGGACATCATGCTTGGTAAAGCAAAGCATCAGTGAAAAAGAGGAAGACCCTCAACAAGATGGATTGACACAGTGGCTGCAAAAATGGGCTCAAGCATAACAACTATTGTGGGCATGGCGCAGGACCGGGTAGTGTTTTGTTCTGTTGTACATGGGGTCACTATGAGTCAGAGCCAACTCAATGACACCTAACAACAATGACAACAACAACTGATGTAATTAACTAAATGAGGATGAAGTCATACTGGATTAGGGTGGGTCCTTAATCCAGTAAGTCCCTGGGAGACGCAATCGGTTAAAGTGCTCAACTGCTAACCAAAAGGTTGGAGGCTTGAGTCTACCCAGAGGCCCCTCGGAAAAAATGCTGGACAATCTAATTCCAAAAAATCAGTCACAGAAAGCCCTACGGAGCACAGTTCTACCCTGACACACATGGGGTCACCATGAGCAACTGGTTTACTCCAATATGACTGGTAACCTTATAAGAAAAGAAAAAGACACACACAGGGAAAATGGTCATGTGAAGATGGAGACAGAGATAGAGTGATGCATCTACAAGGATTGCCGGGCTCCCCCAGAAGCTGGAAGAAGCAAGAAAGCGTTCTCCTGCAGAGCCTTCAGAGGGAGCACTGGCTTAGCACCTTCATTTCGGACTGCTGGCCTCTAGAACTGTGAGAGAATCAATTTCTGTTGTGTTAAGCCACCCAGTTTGTGGTACTGTTACGGCAGCCCTAGGGAACTAATGCAGTTACAATCTGATGTACATGGCATGGCCCCAGACCTGACAGCGCTGTATTCTGAATCAAACTCTTTCTAGAAATTCTCCCTCATGAATCTTTACCACCTCCTTCCTCGAATCAGAGACTGTGAGGAGGGAGCCTCTAACAGTTGTAAAGGAGCAAACATTCATTCACCCTCCACCCTTACAGCTGCTCTTCACAGTCCCTCACCACAAACCCAGTAAGTAGGCAGAGTAGGCCTCTATTGTCACTGTTTTGGAGAACAAACATTAACACCAGTTAGGGGGATGTACAGCACCATATGTTATCCTTGCTAACTTGGCCAACAACCTTAATAAAAATGGTGTTACCAACAAGGGGAAACCTGTTTAGGGAAGCTGACTGGCTTGAGATGAGAGAAGTTATACAGCCTGTAGAAGGCAGCATGAGATTTAAATACAGGTCCAAAGACAAGCCCAGTGCTCCTTCACCTAAATTATGAATAACCTGGGAACCAGTTGGCATGGCACAACTCTGACTTGTGACAACCTCCTCCATGTGTCCAGAGTGGAACTGTGCTCCACAGGGTTTTCAATGGCTGTAATCTTTCAGAAGTAGACTGAGACTGCCACGCCTTTCTTCTGAGACACCTCTGGGTGGACTCGAACCACTAACCTTTCCTTTAGTAGCTTAACCATTTGCGCCACCCAGGGACTACAGCCACCCTCCTAGGGTGCATGTCTAGACCTCAGCAATAATCCCTTGTGACAACTGACTGGCTGATGAGCATGTGTTTGGTGCAGACTTGGGGAAGGTGCCTGAGATGTCAGCAGGTTTACCTATAACTTCCATCATACCCCAAACACACACTCCTTGCTCCTCCATCTGTCACTGAGAAATTATGACCAACACAGGTTCTTTGAGCAACTGAGAGTTCAGTGTGGCTTCAACCTGAGGTGAAAACAAGTGGGGATACAAAGGAAGAACGGAAGTGATACTGTGATGCTGCAAGACAGGCAGGGACCAGCTCTTCAAGGGCCTGTTACACAATGCTAAGTAAGGACCTGGGAGAGGACATCACCAAACCACCACTAACCCATATCACCAAAGATTCTGAACGGGGAGGGGGCTTAAGAGACAATTCTCATGTCTCAGGACAAGGGTAATAAGGCCCTCGAATAGAGCTTTGCACGTAACAGTCACTCACTGAATACTGGTAGAATAAAACACAAAGGAGCAGAGGCCCGGTCCTGTCTTACACACATTCCGCCCCTCCTCGCCCCTCACACACATACATTTATATTCTCGAAAGAGAAAAGCAGGAAGAAATTAGCTTCCCCGGAAAATGTTAGCACTCATGCACCCAATCTTTGAAGTCTTAGTCCGAGTCAGACAGTCCTTACTCCTGCTGGGGATACAAAGGACACCCTTCCCCCAGGAAAGCTCCTGATGTCCCATCCTCACCTCCATTCTGTCCAATTTGCCACCAAATCCCTATTTGTGCTTCAGCAGGCAGGAGGACAGAACCAGGAGAACCCCAAACCAAAGATCACATCTCCATCTCAACAGTTACCAGTTGGATGGCTTAGGGCAACTATTTAAACTGTCTGAGCCAGCCTTCTCCTCTCGGAGGGTAAGGAAGATGGGATAACAATATTCACCTTTCACAGCGACCGTGAAAACAGGTGCTGAGATAATGCACTAACTGCCCGGCATTATGCCCGGCACGGTGCTTGTCGCTCCCTCCCTTTCTGGAAACAGCAGCCTTACATTGTACGGGGATTCTCTCTACATCTGCCTCCCCACCCCACCTGGCACTGCATGCGAGGAAGGCCCAGGGGCCTCTGGGAAACCAGGGACGCGGTGCTGGGGTCAGGAATTAACGAAATGAGCGCGGCTGGCCACCCGGGCAGTGGGAACTCCCAGTCTGAGGCACTCCGCCGCCCCTCTTCGCGAGGAGACTGCAGCCATGTGGCAATGTGGCCGAGCGTGGCTAGTTATTTCTCTCCCCACCCTTCCCAAGAAATTCCAGAAAACCAGTTGGAGGTAAAGCTTCTCAGTTTTCAGACGTTAGCAGCTGATTTTAAAAAATCTTAAAACAATGCAGAACAACCAAAACGCTTCTGCGGGCCGAATCTGGCCCACGGGCGGCCACTTTGAGATCCGTGTCTACGGCGGGCCCTCCGGGGACTACTCCCCACCGACCCCTGGAAGACCAGGCAACCACTTACGAAGGAGGAAAAAGACGGGAGGAGGATCCTGAGAACATTGCACGCGAACACGAAGCTGAGCACCAGCAGCCACGCCCAGCGATCGGCCTCCGCGGCGCTCATCCCGGACGCTCGCTGCGGCGCCGGCACAGCTACGGCAGCTCCATGGGGACCACGTTGCCTGCCGCACCCACGCCCGCGCCTGCGCAGTGAGGCCTGGTGCCCCCCAGCAGTTGCGCACCATTGCGCCTGCGCACTACGCCGCACTCATGGGAACGTGGGAACCGGGAGGTGGGGACGTTTTTCCGGTCCCGGTGGAGCGGTTAATTCATTCCAGCCCTTTCCTTGTCCGTCCGGGCTTCCGTAGCCCTCTTCCCCAACTGGCCCAGTTACGCAAATTCCTGTGGTTCCACTACCGCTGTCTCTCTAGTTTGGCTGCAGCTGCAAACCACTTACGGTTTTCTTTAAATTGACGCACTTTCATTCCTAAATAAATTTATCTTAAGCCTTTCCATAACTGGAAAACTACAGTTATTTGCCACTATTACATGGCTATACGAAGAAACGTTTTGTAAGCAATGTTATATGTAAAATGTCTTAAATTTACATTTCAAAACTAAACAATGTGATATGTTAAATGATTTACAAAACCACATACCTGTGTTAAAATTAAATAACTCCCCAGAAGCCTGGACAACGCTCCAAGACTTCCGGGCGCCTTATCATTAAGTACACCTCGGCATACCAACCTCATTAATCTCTCAAGAGTGCCCCTTCTTGTTTTCCCAAGGACCTTGCTCACTTTAATGGTAGGTGTGTTGCTGGGTGAAAAACCCCAGGTTTTGCTCCGCGTCACTTGTTACAGCCAATACATGAGGCCGTGGTGGGAGATCAAAAAGACCCCTTTATTTCCTAGTGCGAGGAAAGGAGCAATCGGGGCTGTTGCTTCTAAGGCAGCTTGGGGAGGTGGGCTTTTACAGAGAGCAGACAAGGAAATGCAAATTCATCATGAATATTCAGGTTGACCTTCAGGCAGGCGCTCAGAGCTTGGGATGAGTATGCATTTTCTTTAGACAAGGATTTGATCACCCGAGATGGAAGAAGAGGTTTGTTTTCTTTCATTAGTATATTAAGTCTCCACCCAGAGGCGGGTCGAGGCCATCTCTGGCCCGTTATGTAGTTATCTTGTCAAGGACAATTTTAGAAGAATATGCAGCTTATTTCTGCTCAGTGTAGGAGGATAAGCCTGAGCTGGTGTCTCTTAGAAGGCTTGGACTGTGTGGCTGCCTGCCTCAGATGTTTAACCTAAAAGTTTCTTTTTCCCAAGACCTGTATCTCCAGGATTTTGTGTATTCCATGTGACTTGTTCTGCCCTACTGTATAACCGCGAAAGAACCAACTATATGTTCTTTTTTTTTTCCATAACTGAACATGGTGGAAACACTAGGGTCTAACTATTTCTGCCCAATGAGAGTCTCCTCAAACTGGCCAGTCTTTGCTCCAGAGCTTCCTGTAGAGTATGCCAAAACTTTGTCAGATCTGCATTATGATTTGAGGCACTCCTTGTTCAATCTACTTTCTCTAACTCTTTTCTTTCACATGTATCAGATCAACATCATGTGACCCTAATACTCTACAACATGTTTTCTCCTTTTTAAAATGGGTGATTGAGAGCTTGACATAACTAACGCCATGATGAACCTATGAGTTTTTTTCTGCCTGCCTTCTCTTTTCCGCATACCTTTGTTAATTAATGTGTTTTGCTCTGTCCGGCCACCTGTGACTTACAACCCCCCACATGAGATTAGAGCCTAGATGCCCAGTTTGTAAATGTTGAGCCTGATAAGGAATCTCTTGTAGTTGTCTTGTAATGTGTAACTCATCCAGCCATGTGTGGGTGATGTGCCAAAAGACACTTCAAACTCTTGTAAAAATCATATGTAAGCTCTAATGTAAAATTGCCTTTCAGGACTCCATAGAGACAGACTGTGTTGCTGTTGGATTCCCCGTTGGTGGACACCTCCTAAATAAACTTTCTTACTCTTTCTGACTTGGAGTACGTTTCATTGGCTCAACTGCTCCAGGGCATGGACCCTAATCGGGCAATGATCACGATCTGAAGGCTTTCCCTGCCCAATTATGCTTCATCCCCGTTTTTTCTTTCACAGACATTTCACCGGAATCAACTGCTTGCACACTTAATTCCATCTCAGTGTCTGCTTCCTGGAGGACCCAATTCACAGTGGTAGTTAACAAGAGATGACTTCCTCCCCATGTGACCGTGGGTGTAACTTCAACTCTCTAAGCTTCAGTTTTCTCACCTATAAAATGAGGACACTATTACCTCCTTCTTTGGGCTGTTGGGGGGCTTCAATATGTAAAATATTTAAGAATTTTATGAGGATTAAATGAGAGAATACATGTAAAGTGCTGAGCAAACCACCTTGCATATAATAAGTGTTTAATAAATGTTAGCTGCTATTTTTATGGAAGAAATAAGGCCAACTGTGGATGGGGATTCTTTGGCTTTTTTCCAGCCTGATGGATATGTTTATTTGCCTAACATCAGAAAGATGTTATTATTTTTTCATTACCATTAACATCTTCATCTGCAGTGAGAAAAGAAGTATTGATCACACCAAGCCAGGAAGGTAAAAGTTGATCCCAAGTACAAGTAATTGTAGTGGTTTCTAGCAATATATTTCTTTCTTTTTTTTTAAATTGTGCTTTAGGTGAAAGTTTACAGCTCAAGTTAATTTCTCATTCAAAAATTTATACACATTATTTTGTGACATGGTTACAGTCCTCACAATGTGACAGCACCTTCCCCCTTTCCACCCCGGGTTCCCTCAACTATACATTCTTTATCACAAGATTGTAAATAGCATAGAAACAAAAAACTACTGTGAAATCAAATTTATATTAAAAATATGATGTTTTATTTCAAGAGAGCTTCTCTTATCCATGAATGTAGAAATTCCTGACCCAAAATAAATCCACCATCGTTTTTAGTTTTTTTTTTTTTCTTTCTTTCTCTCCCACCCAAAATGGCTGTTCCAAAGAGCAGATCATAACAAAGCCTTTAACCTGTGATTAAATTAGAAAAACTTGGCTTCTTTAATTTGAATTTCTGGAGGTCTCAGGACTACAGGTGGGTGGAGCGGAGAATCTTCTGGGAAGTTACTCACACATACACCTGTTAACTCAGTAGCCATTACATACTTCATCACCATGGAAACCTGTATTCTTTAAGCAAAAGTTATTTTATTATTGTTGTTAGGTGCCATAGAGTCAGTTCCAACTCATAGCAACCCTATGTATCACAGAAGGAAACATTGTCCAGTCCTGCACCATCCTCATAATTATTGTTATGCTTGGGCCGCTTGTTGCAACCACTGTGTCAATCCATCTATTGAGGGCCCTCCTCTTTTTCAACGACCCTCTGCTTTACGAAGAAAGATGTCCTTTTCCAGGGACAGGTCCCTCCTGATAACATGTCCAAAGTAAGTGAGACAAAGTCTCGCCATCCTTGCTTCTAAGTTATTTAAGTGTCTGAATTCTCTGAAGCCTTGGTGGCACAGTGGTTAAGAGATAGGCTGCTAACAGAAAGGTTGACAGTTGAAATCCACCAGCCGCTCTTTGGAAACCTTATGGGGGCAGTTCTACTCTGTCCTATAGGTTACTATGAGTCAGAATTGATTCAATAGCAATGGGTAGTGGGTGAATTCTCCATTCTCTAGGAGCAGTTTCCTCTCACATGAGACGTTTCTCCAATTTGCAAATTGTTTATTAAATCATAGAGCAATCAAATGTTGTATTATTCTTTTGAATTAATATATGATCATATTTTTAACACCGCTTTGCCATAGTGGTGTTAAAGAGAAACTGCTGATTTACAAACGTGTCTCTTTCTCTCTTAATAAATACTTGATCTCTTTAATTGTCAAAGTCTTATTGTTTTTAATACCTGAAAAATAAATGTATTTATCAGATGGCACTATTTATAATCAGCCTGTAATAAAATAATTGGAGTCCCTGGGTGGTACAAATGGTTAAGAACTCAATTGCTAGCTGAAAGGTTGGAGTTCAACCCACCTAGAGGCACCTGGGAAGACAGGCCTGGTGATCTGCATCTGGAAGACCACAGCCTTGAAAATGCTGTGGAGCAGTTATACTCAGCACTCATGGTGTTGGCATGAGTTGGAATCAACTTGACAGCAATTAACAACAACAACAATAAAATAATTAACCTAAATTTAGATAAATATTAGGTTTGTCAAAAACCTAAATGCTTAGAGAAACACCAAAAATTAGTGTAACAGAATATATTTATTGTGAGTAGATATGATTTGAATAGGGCAGCCACACTTGAACATGTTGGGAAGGCACTTCGTGGAGGAGACAGTGAAAGCGGGTTATATAGGTCATTCCTATGTTAATTTCTCAGAAGGTGACATCAAAGGACAAGGCAGGTTACAGAAACAGTAGCCAAGGACATGCCATACATCCTAAAACAGCCTCTAGTCAGACCCTGGAGTTCCTGCTTCTCAAAGCGTGCTGCATATAAATAACTTTCCAAAAGAACCCAATGCCTAAAGCAAAACGTTCTCTCCTAAGCTGCTCACTAAGCTACTATTTGACCTGAAGGTGAGTCCAGGAACCAGATCCCCCAAGGTTCAAAAGGGCAGATGGCCTGTGTGGGTAACCCCGATTTCAGGAACCCAAAAATCTGGACTCCAGGAGAATCTAAATAATTTTGTAGTGTGTTTAATAGCGTTCCCCAAAAATTCATATCCACCCAGGACTTCAGAATATGACCTTATTTGGAAATAGGGCCTTTGCAGATGTAATTAGTTAAGGATTTCAAGATGAGATTAGATGGGCCTTAAATCCAATGACTGATGTCTTCATAAGAGAAAGGAGAGGAGTTTGTGCAAACAGAAACAAATACAGAAGAAGGCTATGAGAAGACAGGCAGAGATTGGAATGCTGCTGCCACAAGCCAAGGAGCACCGGCAGCCACCAGAAGCTAGAAGAGGCAAGGAAGGATCCTCCCCTAGAGCCTTCAGAGGAAGCATGGCCCTGCTGGTATTTTGATTTTGAATCTCCGGCCTCTAGATCTGTGAGGAACCCTGGTGGCACAGTGGTTAAGAGCTGTGGCTGCTAACCA